AGCTGGCTGCAATGCAATTAGGATCCTGCAACTGCTGGGTGGTTTAACAGGGATCCTTGGGAAAACGGGTCCAGTTCCCAAGATTTAAAGCAAAAAAGCCACGAGAAGCCAAAGCGGCGCTGTGCGGTTGGCAGAGAACAGGGAGCGGGGAGCAAGAAGGTGCCAGGTCACTGGGACAGAGCAGCTGGAACTGTGAATTAAATGCAAGTTAAAAATCAACATCCAAGCTGTGGCTGCCCAGTCCCTGGAACGTTCCAGGCTGGCTTGGATGGGGCTTGGAGCAGCCTGGGATAGTGGAAGGTGTCCCTGCCCCAGGTGAGCTTTCAGGTCCCTTCCAACCCAAACCATTCTGGGTTCTGTGATTTTCTCTCTGCCAAGCAAAGTTCTCCCACCTGGGAATGGGAAGAATCCTCTCGCTTCCCCAGATACAGCCACTGTTCCCCAGGTTAAAAATCCTGCCTGGATCAGGAGCTCCCCAGCGCTGCCAAGGCCACCACCAGCCCTGTCCCCAGTGCCCCCCGTGTCACAGCTGCTGCCACGGGCCCGAGCTGCTCCTCCCCTCCCTTCCCTGGGAATATTGCATGGGAATATCGTCCTGCTGCCCTTCCAGAGCTCCACGCTGCACGAGCAGCGCTCAACTGACTGCAGTGAGATGATTAATTCCATCCTGCCTTTCTGCAAAGAGCCACAGACAGCTCCAGTTCCACCCAGACTCAGCTATTTTGAAGTCACCAGATAACTCTGACTTCTAATTTTATCTTTTGAATGAAATAAGCCAAAAAGCCCCACAAGATGACAGGCGTGCATTACCAAGAGCGTGTGATAAACCAGGCCCATGGCTTTTGGGGAACTTGAATTAGACAAAGAGAGACAAAACCTCCATCTTTTCCCTTAGTAAATTCTTCCCACAGCTTTAACACTTTCTGCTGAAGTAACACTCAGTCCTGCCAACGTTACACCAACGTCACCCCCGTGACCAGATCTGGTGGTATTTTGGGGACTAACCAGGATTAAAACCACATTTAAGGCCTGGTTTCTCCCCCAGATCCCTCTACCTCCTTCCACCTCAAGTGAACTTGTAAAATCACCATTTCTAGTCTCCTGTTTTTGCTTTTTGTTGTTTAGTGCAGTAGTCACTGGGGCTGGATGAACAGCCTGGCTCCAGCAGCCGTCCCAGATCCCTCCAGGTGCCTTAAAACACAAGTGCAAATTTAGGTAGGAAAAAAGGCCAAGGTTTTGCCCATTTTAGCATCAGAGCCCAACACCCTGCTCACCCCTGGCCCTGTCACCACCCCCAAATGTGCAGCAGTGCCGTCCCCGAGCCGTGTGCCGGGAGCACCGACCAGGAGTGCCAGGGCAGCGCTCGTCATGCCGATGCTTTTTGACTAATTACTGCTATAAAAAGCAAAAAGCTGTCAGGGGGAATTATTCAGCTTCTGCAAGAGTGAAACAGAGACGCATCTGAGAGGAAATGGTGCCCCTTCAGACTCCAGTGGTGCCTGCAAGGATTAACTCAACCCTGGCAGCACCTACTGAGGACAGTATTTACTGCACCCATCCCCAGATGCTCCAGATGCAGGGAAATGGGGTGGAAGGCAGCTCGGGCTGCAGGAGAGGCCTGGGGAGCAGGGCTCCCAGGGGTTCTGCATTCGAACCACAGAGCCACAGGATGGTTTGGGTTGGGTGGGAAGGGACATCAAAGCCCACCCAGTGCCATGGCAGGGACACCTCCCACTGTCCCAGGCTGCTCCAATGTCCAACCTTGTCCTTGTCAGAGCAGACACGATGGAAAGCAGATCCTTATGAAACTTCATCCCAGTGTTTTCATTGCACCCACACCAGGTGTCTTTACACTCTCCTGACTCCACAGCACACTTCACCTTATTGTCCATCAGCAGCACCTTTTAATTCCACCGGTGGAAGCATTGTTCTGAGACAGCACCCCAAAATCCACGATCCAGGTAAATCCTAAAGCAGTACTGGGGGGGCAGGCCAGCTCTCAGCCCTGCCACAGCACACTCCATCCTCCTCACAGCACAGCCAGCAAAGCCCAACTGCAGCAGCTGAGCCACTTTTGTAACTCCCATCCTTCCTGGCCACCTTTCTGTGAGGGACAGGCTGCTCCCTCTCTGTGGTAATGAACACAGCTGCAATTACCAGGGGCTACATTGCCCTCAGCACTATCTCTGTCCTCCTCCTTCCACACAGCCCTGGGGATCCCTTGGGATCCCTGCCCTCGGGCACTGCCAGGGATCCAGGGGCAGCCCCAGCTGCTCTGGGCAGCTTTGCCCACCCTGCCAGGGAGGAATTTCTCCAGAACATCCCACCTAACCCTGCCCTTGCTCAGTTTGAAGCTGCTGCCCCTGGTCCTGTCACTCCATCCCTTGTGCAAAGGCACTCGGGCTCAGTCCTGCCGCTCCCTGCAGCCCCAGGGCTGCTGCAGCTGCTCCCTGCAGGGCACAGGGCAGGGCACAGGGCTGGGCAAAGCCACCAAGGGCACAGGGCAGGGCACAGGGATGAGCACAGGGCTGGGCAAAGCCACCAAGGGCACGGGGCAGGCTGGAAATGCCACCCCAGAGCGGCTGCACCGAGCCCAGGGTGCACAGCCAGGAGTGACCTGCACCAGGTGACACCACCAGTGTCACACTGCCGTGTGTCACAGCAGGGCCTGGCAGGTCCCAGCCGCTCCCAGGGAACATCTGCTCCTCCCTGGGGGACCACAGGGCCCCACACAGGTCCAGGGGGTGTGAGAGGCAGAGTTTGTCCAAAAATCTCCGTCCCTCCTTCCTGGTGGGTGCCTGAGGTGTGCGTGGCTTGCAGAGGCTCTGCACCTCTGCTCCCTCCAGCCTCCTCCAGCCCAGACCTGCCGTGGCAGCCCCTTCCCTCAAAACCTCAAAACCAGACTCAGAGCAGCATGGGCAGAGTAACCCAGAAATCCCTCAAAATCAGAGGTTTTGGACAGGAATTTTTAACAGAAACTAACCATCCACTAATTGTCCTGGGGCAAAAAAAAACCCACAATGAGCTCATTTTTGGCTGAGCTGTTTCTGACCACAAAACCTCTTTCATGTCATGGCCTCTTCTCCTTCTTCCACTGACTTGGGTTTCCAATTTGTTCATTCCAAAGCCTCTCTTTGTGTTTGCATTTAAATTTTCACCTCCACTGATTTCCCAAGCAAAAAAAACCCATTGGATGAGGCAGGAGCCGAGGAATCCTGCACAGGCACACGGGGCTGTGGCACAGCTGGGTCCAGCAGAGCCTGGCAGTGCTGCTCCAGCTCTGAAATCAGCTTCCTGAGCACAGGAGCATGCCAGCACCCAGGGCATCTCCATCCCTGCACCAGGGAATGTCCCAGGCCAGGCTGGACAGGGCCTGGAGCCGCCAGGACTGGCACAAGGTGTCCCTGCCCACGGCAGGGGTGGAATAAGATGGGCTTCAAGGTCTCTTCTGCGGTGGAAGCACCCACAGCAATCATGTTCTCAGCCCTTTTTCACCTCTCATTTATTCACTTTATCCCATCTATGAGTTTTTCTTCGTGGTTTGAAAGTAAATCTTTGCTGGGCTGAAGGAGCTGCTTCTGTGAGCTCCTCTCTGTTCTCCAACACAGAAAGAACACCAGCAGGAGATTTTGCTTTTCACGGAGCTCTGTCACTCAGGTAATAAGATGGACTGATCCCAGGCTCAAGGCAGGCTCTGGGGCAGCTCCCTCAGGCACCAGAGGACTCGGACAGGAGCTCCTGCAGATGGGCACTAATGGTAAGTGGCAGCAGAGTCACAGACAGATGTTGTCAGAACTGCTGACTGGAAGAACAGCCCCCAGAAGGAAGCCCCGGTGTAAGCCCTGCCTGTGGCATGTGCAGAGACATCCAGCCCTCAGGGCAGCTCCGTGGCCTCCTCTGCACAGCTCCACGTCCTGCTGAGGCTCCTGGGGCTGGGCCAGCCCTGCAGGTGAGGTCTCACCTGAGAGGGGCAGGATCCCCCCTCCCTCCGTCCCTCCCTGCTGCCCTGGCTGGGGGCTCAGCCCAGGACACAGGGCTGGCTCTGGGCACAGGAGACGGGGCTGGACGGGGCTGGAAGGCTCGGGCTGGCCGAGGGAGGATCCCGGGGACAGGGCACAAAGAGGTGGGAATGCTCTGGAAGCAGCTGCCTGGCAGGGAGTGCAGGGAGCCCAGCCTCTCATCGTGTGAGAGGTGACACGGCCAGCATCCCTAAATGCCTTCACAGGGAGAGAATATCAGCTACTAAAGGGCTCTTCAATCACGGGAAGAGAGGCAGCACAGACCCAGCCCCCAGGGGCAGGAGCAGACGCACTTGGATTAGGAACAAGATGCAGTTTTTAACAATAAGAGCAATTAAGTAGCGGAATAAACTGCCCTGGGGGTGGTGAATCCCCCAGCTCACGGTGCCGTGGAGAGGAGCTCTGCTCCAACACGGGCTCCAGCCACAGCCCTGGATCCCACACTGCTGCCAGCTCCCACAGCTCCCACAGCCCCAGCAGCAGCGTGGGGTCCTGGAGCCCAGACACCCCCAGGACTGTCCCTGGCACAGCACAGGTCCCAGGACTGTCCCTGGCACAGCACAGGTCCCAGGACTGTCCCTGGCACAGCACAGGTCCCAGGATGATCCCTGGCACAGCACAGGTCCCAGGATGGTCCCTGGCACAGCACAGGTCCCAGGACTGTCCCTGGCACAGCACAGATCCCAGGATGGTCCCTGGCACAGCACAGGTCCCAGGACTGTCCCTGGCACAGCACAGGTCCCAGGATGGTCCCTGGCACAGCACAGGTCCCAGGACAGCTCCTGCAGCTCAGCCCTGGGTTCAGTGTCCTGTTCTGCACCACAGTTCTGCAGGAGCCTCTATTGTGACCCATGGCCCCATCCCTGGGAGTGGCCACGGCCAGGCTGGATGGCACTTGGAACACCCTGGGGTAGTGGAGCTGTCCCTGCTCCTGTGAGGTTCCCTCATGGAACTGGATGAGCTGTAGGGTCCCTTCCTACCCAAACCATTCCAGGATTCCACGGCCACCCCTGGCACAGGTGCTGGCACACGCGGCTTCTGTGCAAAGAGCCGAAGCGAGGGAGAGGTGGGGAGGCAGCCTGTGGTACCCAGCCCTCTCCACCACTGATTTCCACAGACACAGATTTTTAAACAAAGCCAGACGATCCAATTTGCAGTAAATTTTCCCTCTGGAGCCAGCTCTCCGTGCCCAGGCAGTGCCAGCATGGGCTTGCCTTGGGGAAGGGTGGATGTGTGGGAAAGGAGGCAGGAATAAATGGGGACACTTTGTGAAAAGGATGGAGCAGGCAGCTGGGGAAGGCACCGCTGATGGTTTCACATGCAAATGCCTGGCCCAGGGTCTGAGGGAGCGTTAATGTGAGGAGCAGCTGGGAGCATCGCTGGAGGATGCCATCGCCATGGCAACGGGACGAACCACACGGATCAAGGACACGATTTCATTGTCCGAGCGCCGGGGATTTTTTAGCTCTGTTCCTAGGGACGGCGTGTTAATGACAGTTGCATCCTATTTATCCTGGGCCTTTATTGTCTCCGTAATGAACTCTCCAGGAAAACCTGGAGAGCGTTTCCTCGGAGGCTCCACGCCAGAAACGCGACTCCGAGTTAAGTGGTTTGCTTCGCTGGCAATTCCCTCCCATGCCCACACGCTTTGAAATCCAGAGCAGGCTGATTAACTATTAATAACAGGGCACTGACAAACCACACATCCTGCCCCACTTTGTGCCACTTGTTCCAGAGCTCTCTCCAGAGCCGTGGCTGCGGGGACGCTCCTCACCCTGCCCTGGCTGGGACACACCATGGACACCCTTGTGCCCTGTCCTGGCACTGCCTGATGCCTCAGAGCTGCACATCCCGGTGCTTTGGGTGATCAGCTGAGGGGGATGATGATGATGATGATGATGATGATGATGATGAATGACAGGGCATGGCTGTGTGTGCACACAAATGCTCCCAGTGCCCCTCAAGGATAACGCCACATCCACGTGAGTGAAGCCTGGGATTACTTTCCTACTTACACACGGCTCTCCAATGATCTTGGAGGTCTTTTCCCACAAAAATGATTCCATGATTGTGTTAAATACATTGATATTATTACTGTGCTGTTCAATTATTTCCTGCAGAGCAGGAAGCCTTGGCTGGCCCCAGTAAGGTCTGGCTCCAGCAAATCCAACCCCTGTCCTTCGGCATCCTTCGGCATCCCAGTGCCACTACAGCTGCTGAAATGTGCCATGAAACCAGGGACCTCCAAGGTGAGCACGTCCTGGGAGCCCAGAGCAGCCCCAGGCAGGCAGAGGCAGGGATTCAGCATTGCTTTGGGAGCTCTGAGCACAGGAGCACAGGAGCAGCACCGACGCTGCCCTTGCTTGGTGTTTACTGCAGTCCTGTGCCCTTCCAGGACTGATTCTGTCGGATGAGCATGACCAGGCCACCCTCTCTTTAGTGTCTGGGCAGGAGCACGGATGTCACCCTGCAGCACTGAAGGTGCCCACCCCTGCTCAGAGCAGGGAAGCTGCTCCTGGTTGGGGCTGTCAGTTTTCCCTGTGGATCTGCTGCCCACGGCTCCTTCCCAGTGTGGGAGGAGAGGGAAATGGGGTGAAGGCACGCCCAGCCCAGCTCAGGACGGAGCTGCTGTGAGCTGGGGATGCTTTCACCCCGTTTCACTCCCTCCCACCCGGTCCTGGCTGAGCTGGAGCTCTGGTCACTCTGTGCTGTCACTTTGAACCCCAGTGGCTGCTGCAGCCCTGAGGATGAGGGATCAGCAAACCAAACCTGCAGCAAGCAGGGGCTGCCAAGCCCAGCTCTGCAGCTCCTCTCCCTCTGTGCAACGCAGCTGCTCCCAAATCCTGGGATTTACCACCTCTGCCAGGGCAGAGCTGCCCTGGCCAGGAAGAAATTCCTCCTGTGCCAAACCTGAATCTTCCCCTGGCACAGCTTCAGGCTGTGTCCTCTTGTCCTGTCAAATTTCATCGTGTTCTGAGCAGCTCCCAGTCCCAGCAATCACCACATTCCAGTGTGACTCTCCCAGGCACAGGAACCAAGCAGCAGCCCTGGTTTCCATTCAGCTTTTGCCATCAGTGTAATCCCTCCCCAGCATTCCCAGCTTCCCACTCCCTGAGCGGCCCACGCCAGCCGTGGCAAACAAGCCAGCCCTGCAAACACACACAGAAGTTTTCTTTTCTTCTTTAACCAACAACCACTGTCACTAAACCCTCTTTCTGCTTAATGCAGCTCTGCATCAAAACACCTCGGAGGCAATTCATTTATACCAGGAGAACTTCTGAGGCTGGAATTTTCCCTGATGGCACTGCTGGAAGGCTACAACAGCCCAGCAGGTCAGCCAGTTGAAAGCAGTATTTCATCTGGCAATTTATTCAAATAAATCTTTCAAAACATGAAATAAGCTCTAAAGATGGAGACTGTCAAAGGCTGCGGTAGCCGAGCTCCTGAGTGGAATGACCAAGCAGGAGGAGCAGCTGTGGGACAGGAGCCCAGCTCCCTGTGCTGGGAGCAGTGTGATCCAGTGAGGGGCTCAGCAGGATAACAGTGATGGGCTTAACGATGAAAAGGTGCTTTTGTCAATTATTATCATTCCATGTGCAGTGGCACGACCCCAGAGATGAGTGGAAGGTCTCCAGCACCCGGTGGGGATTTTAAAGGCTTTGAAGCACCCAGGTCTGAGCTCAGCCGAGACAGAGCAGCCCTGCCAGAGACAGCTGAGGGGAATTCCAGTGCAAAGGAAGGTTTTCCTGCCATTGCCCGGGGGAAGGAGGAGCTGGAACAAGTGGCCAGGCGTGTTTTGGAGGAAGAAGAGCCCCTTTGTGGTGTGCACACCATGGGCATTGTCTGCTCGTGGGTCAGCGGCGGGAGCTGCCCCCGCTTGGGCATCGGCTTCTCCTGCCAACATTCCCAGTCAGGCTCAGCTCCCTCCCTCAGCCTCTGCCCTCTTCACCAGCTCCAGCGAGGAACAGAAGGCACGATGGAGACAGTAATCACAGAATCCTGGGATGGTTTGGGTTGGAAGGGGCCTCAAAGCTCCTCTCAATCCACCCCTGCCATGGCAAGGACACCTTCCACCATCCCAGGCTGCTCCAAGCCCCATGCAGCCTGGCCTGGGACACTTCCAGAGATCCAGGGGCAGCCACAGCTGCTCTGGGAATCCTGTGCCAAGGCCTCACCACCCTTCCAGGGAGCAATTCCTTCCCAATAACCCATTGAAGCCCACCCTCTGCCAGGGAACACACAGCAAATCGTTAATACTTATGTTGGATCCACTGTGTAATTCCAAAAGTGTCAGCCTCATCCCAATCTGCAGGAAATGGTTTTGTTAAGACCAGTCAAGGCTGACCTTGATTGGGCTCCTGCTTCATCAAAAATGCTGAACTTTGGAGGAAAAGAGAGCAGGTAGTTGTATTTTGTGCTTGTGCTGCATCTCTGCCAGCTGCCGGGAAGCGAACTGGCTGCTCAGGGAAAACCAGGAAACAAAGGCTAATCCAGCAGCTGAGGTGGATGCTGTTGTGAAGATTACAGGCCTGGCAGGGTCTGTGGGCTCTTCTTTCACAGATCCCCCAAAATTAAAAGCTGCTTTGAAAATTCCAGAGTTGCTGTGCCTTAGCCCTGGATCTCACTGTGGGGATCTGACGGCTCTGACGCATTTCTGCAGCATCTGCTGCAGCCCCACTCTCCAGGAGCTTTGGGACCTGCATCTCAGGGAAGCTGTGTCCTCCTTCATCCCTCCTCGGTGGGGATCAATCCCTGCCTGCCTGCAGCAGGTCCCTGCAGTGCTGTCCCTGCTCCTGCTCCTGCTGCTGCTGCTGCTCCCCACGCCGCTGGCACGGCACGGCACGGCACGGCACGGCACGGCACGGCACGGCACGGC